CACTCCCAAGTTCATAGCCTTCAGTGGTTTCTGAGATCTATTGGACTTGTTTATTTCACGAGTCCTTCCTCTAGAGATTCTTAAAACTCTTTCCCTAATTGCTTTCCCCTATTTAGCACTTTTCTCCATTGACTTGCTCTACATGTCTCAATCAGTTGGCTGTCCCCGCTTGATTGGTGCGTCTTCCTCTCTTATTCCTTCTTACATCCCTTCTCACTTATTAGTACATCCTGATTAGTTCCTTTTGCACATTGGCCTCCTTCCTGATTAGTGTCTCCTGTGTACTTTTCTCTTTGCACTGACTCTTCATTACATGACTCATCTCTGCCATATTATTGACCTATGATTTACTATTTACTCATTGACTTTCCTTCTTCATGGGCCTCACCTCTCCATGCTCTTGTTGTTGTTGTTGATTGCCTTCCAGTCGAGCATGACTCATCATGACGCTATGAACAAAAGGCCTAAAGCCCCTCTACAACCATTGACATTTATCAAAGTTCATAGAGTTTCCAGAGGCATATTGCTTAAGAAGTGGATGCACCTTTTCATATACCCTCTATTTCTTGACATACTGCCCTATTGATCTATTCCCCCCACCAAACATTTCACTTCCCTCATGAGCCGTTTAAGCCCTGACCCATCTCCTTCATGGCTTCTATGTTTATCTCCTCCACAGCCTTTTACTTATGATCTGTTCCTCTATTCCCCTTCACTCATTGGTCTACCTCCCTTAGAGTCCTTCACTGTTAGCCTACCTCTTTCATAACCCACTGGGCCGCCTCTCCAACGGGCCCCCTCGTCAATGCAGAATCTCTTACCCGTCGTCCACCTCCTCGAAGACTCATCCATTGGTCCACCTCCTCCATAGTCCCTCCCCCATTAGTCCATCTCCACAATAATCTCACATCCATTGGCCCTCTCTCAGGGCCCAGTGCTCATTGGTCCACTCCAGTATAGCCTCTCGCTCATGGTCCATCTTCCTAATGGTCCAATACCATTATTGCACCTGTAACACAATGTCTCGCCTACTGGACCACCTCCCTCACTGGTCAAATCCCTCCTCCATTGGCCAACATCTCCTAGAGGCCTCTACTCCTTGATTCACCTCCTCCATGGCTCTTCACCATTAGCCCATCATCCCGTTGGACCCTCACCCATTGATCCACCTCCACAGGGCCCTTCATCATTAGTTTTCTCCTGCTACTGACCATCTGCTGTCTTGCCCCATCCGAGGATTTGACATCTGGTTTGAGCGGAAGAACAGTCCCTCATCAAGGTCAATGGTTTGATGGCCTCGGAGAGATTGGCTGGCCGTGCCAAACGCAACAGCATGATATCTTGGTCATGAGTGGCAGCCATGTAGCCAGGGTGGATCACAGTCTGGACAACAGAGATCTGCTCCTGGGATGGCTCTGTCACGCGAAGATTGTGCTTTCCTAGGAAAACCTGAAGATTCCTAGAAAAGAGAAGAGCTAGGTGTTACCTGGAAACTTTGGGCTGCAGTGAGACTCCAGAAGTTGGCCTGTTGTGCTAGAAATCCTATGACCTTCATGTTCTAGTCTTCCCCAGCTTAGAAAATTACTTTATCTTCTCATAGTAACTTTGGTGGTTGTTCTTCCTTACTATTCTTTTTTTTTCTTATGGTAAATATATACAGCAAAACTTACACTAGCGCAACAGAGTTCACTTGTACAATTCAATAATATTGATTACATTCTTCCAGTTTTACAACTATTCTTGGTATCCTTTTCCAAATTATCCCAGTCATCAGCAACATAAACTCAATGCCTACTAAGCAAAAAGTCCTCCTTTTCCCTTTGTTCCTACTACTCGAAACCACCAATAATCTATATTTTCTTTATCAAATAACTGAGCCTTTTTCATATAACTGAAATAATACAATACTTGTCCTGGGGACTATGCTTGACTCTTTATTTCATGCTTTCTAGAACCAAGCTTTCTAGAAATCTTTTTGGCTATTCTTTCATGTTGTTGGTTGGTGCCGTCAAGTCATAGACAACTCACAGCGACCCTATGAACCAATGGTCTGAGCACTGTTCGTACATAGAGTTTCTGGAGGCATGCCATTTCGGAAGTGAATGCCGCAGTACATCCAAAAATCTGACCATTTCTTACCTCTCCCACTGCTACTATCTTGGAATAAGCTGTCTTACTTTTTCCCCTGGGCTACAGGATATTTTCATTGTAATATCTTCATTGAATTATCCACTCTTGCTTTCACCCCTATATCTCCTATAATCTATTCTTGTAGTAACCATGAATCATTTTTAAAAACCTAAGTTAATCCTTTGTTTTGCTCAAAGCAAAGGATTAACTTAGGGACCTCTCTTAAGTACTCAAGAGCAACGGTGTCTCTCTGGAGACTAAGGTGCGCCTGATACAGGCCATGGTTTTGCAATCACTTGTTATGCATCAGAGAGTTGGACAATGACTAGGGAGGATAGAAGGAGAATTGACGCCTTTGAGCTGTGGTGCTGGAGAAGAGTACTGAATGTAACATGGACTGCCAAGAAAACAAATAGATTCATCTTAGAGAGGGTTAAGCCAGGCTGCTCCTTGGAGGCAAGGATTCTGGGGCTTCGTCTGACATACTTTGGACATGTTGTGAGGAGAGACAGGTCCTTGGAGAGGGACATCATGCTTGGGAGGGTGGAGGGACAGCGCAGGAGGGGAAGACCCTCTATGAGGTGGATTGATTCAGTGACTGGGGTAATCGGGATGGGTGTGTCAGAGGCAGTGAGATTGGCACAGGATAGAGCAGGGTTTAGGGCTGTTGTACATAGGGTCGCTGAGTTGCAAGCGACTCGACGGCACATAACAACAACAACAACAAGTTAAACCTGTTGGGCCTCTGCTCACAGCTCTTCCATGGGTCTGATTTCACTCAAAGCAAAAGTCAAAAAGTCTCTGCCATGGCCCACAAGACTCTGAAGGATCTAATCTCATCACATGTTAATTGTCATCTCCTGTCCCTCTTCCTTTTCTCTTTCTTCTCCATGGGCACTGACCTCTTAGCTTTTCCTTGAATACAACACACCTCAGGACCTTTGCACTAGCTGTTCCTCCTTCTGATAGATGTTTTCCCCCCAGATATCTGTATGACTTACTCCTTCATCTCCTTCAAAAGTCACCCTCTTGAGGAAACCCTCGTTGACTACCAAATAAAATGCAATACTCTCCTCAACAGATTCATTAAAATCTCCTTCTTCTGCTTTCTTTTCCACTACAAAGCTTTTATCATCACTATTTGACACACTAACTAGAGAGGCATATTTGCTGCATATTTGCTTTATAACTTATCTTCTTCCCATAGGGCGCTCTGGTGGCTTAAGGCACATACATGATTGAATCCACCAGCTGCTCTGTGGGAGAAGGGTGGGCAGTCCCCTCCCATGTGATTAATTACCTCTGAAAACCCATTGGAAGGTCAGCAATGGGTCAGATCTGACTTGATGGCATACAACAACAACAACAACTTCTTCTCATAGTGTCATTGATCAATGAATGCTGCGATGGGAAGAAGCTGCTATGGGAAGAAAGTGGAACTGTCTACAAAGATGTTGTTGTTGTTGTTGTTATGTGTCGTCAAGTCGTTTGCGACTCATAGTGACTCTATGTACAACAGCCCTAAACCCTGCTCTATCCCGTGCCAATCGCATTGCTTCTGACACATCCCAGTCACTGAATCAATCCACTAACTAATTAATCCATTAACTAATCTACAAAGATAGCAAAGTTCAATACCTGTCTGATACGATGACCATTAGCCACTCTGAGTAATTGAAATGGTAGTCCAGGAATCTTTAATTTCATTTCTTTTCATCAACGTGCATTTAGGCAGTAACAAGTAGCTAATGGCAATCATATTAGATGACACACCTCTAGAAGATTAAGAAGATAGTTTTATTTTCTATCCCCAAATGCCTAGAACTATGTATCTGGCATATAATAGGTGTTAGCTAAATATTTTTAAAATAATCCAGAGTCATTGTCTTGCTCAGACCTCTCCTATGGTTCCTTCCACACTGCCCTCTATTGCTACAACCCAACGTTGGTTACTTTCAATTATTTGTTTCATCGTCTCTGGAATGTGTCCTTCCACCAAATCCACACCCACTGACATCAAGTCAGTTACAACTCAAAGCAACCCTATAGAACAAAGTAGAACAGTCCCAAGGGGGTTCCAAAGTTGGAAATCTCTACAGAGGCAGACTACCTTATCTTTTTCCCTCAGAGCAGCTTGTGGATTTGAACTACTAACCTTCAGGTTAGCCACCAAACATTTTACCACTATGCCACAAAAGCTCCTATGCTCTCCACTGAGCTGGTAACTTTAAAAAAATCATTCCAAGGGAGCTCTGGTGGCCTAGTGGTAAGAAGCTGCACTGCCATCACAGAGATACATGGTTCGAACCCACCAGATGCTCTGCTGGAGAAGGAGGGGCAA